TAAAACTTATCTTTAGCCCGCGCAATTGATTTAAAGTGTATAAATTTTGAAAATGAAACTTTGGCTTGTAATATCTATGAATGCGTTAATTGTTATAAACAGGACGATGTATCAAATTAAGGGTTATTAAATTTAGTACCTCACGTTCATTTATCATTTTTCAATAAGTCTACCCATTTTTAAGATATTAAAATAAAAAATAAGAAAACTATAATTTTCCCTTATGAATTTTCAATTCTTCATTACTTCAGCAACCAAGTGAAAAATACAAAAAAGTGAGACGAGATTTATTTCAAACGTTTTAATGCTTTCGGGTGTTTATATAATATTAAAATTACCTTGGACTTGGTCACGCCGATTTGGTCAGTTTTCAAGATCGTGGTGAATGAAGTCAAACATGTATTGTCAAAGATTAGAAATCGTTTGATAAGTTAACAGTAGTTGCAAACATAAATATAAGTATTTGCATACATTAACATAATACAATTAGGGCAAGAAACGCCCATTTTAAGTCCATTTTCGTGGTTTCCAAATTTACCGTTATATGAAAGTAGGGGACGTGCAACAAGTGTTTACATAAATATTTTAGTTAATTCCATTATGTGAAAAAGTAACTATAAGTAGGTAAATGCAATAGTCTTTAACATATCCTGGAAAATCCTTTTGAGGTCTCTCCAATTAGATTTGAAGTATTTAAAAGCAACTTTGCCTAAAGACCATCATAAGTTTTACGATAGTTTGCCACATGAATGATTTTTGGTGTGTATTTTAGTTTCAGCGAACAATACTATTAATTTAATCTACCATTAATTGTTTGTTCATTATTATTTTAATGTATACTTTGTTATTTATAATAAACAAGTTCGCAACTACGTTTCAAATTAAAAATATATATAAAAAAAAAATCGCAATCTTCTTTTTCAGAAAATTTATTTAGTCTGAACTGGAAATCACATTAATGGGATCGTAAAAGAACGGCCGCTGTGGTGTAGAGGTAATCAGTGCGCGCTTCCCTGCGCAGAGCCTGGGTTCAAGTCCTGGTCAAAGCAACATTACAAACAAATTTAGAAGAGAAGGTTTATCCTTAACAGCGGTCGACCCTCGACAGGCAATGGCAAACCTCCGTGTGTATTTCTGCCATGAAAAACAGCGTAAAACTGTAAGTCCCTTCCCTTTGTGTGACAACATCAAGGCGCACGCCACAAATTGGAGGAGAAGCTCGGGCAAACACTAACATATGTATAAGCGCCAATCTATTACACAAGGGGACAAAAATGGGAAACAATTTCGTTGCATCAAATGTTAAAACTGTTTTGGACTTTTTTATGCTGATTGCGAATCCGTAAGTATAAAGTCTCCATCACTATAGATTTGGAAAAAAACGAGGTCAAAGTGTCAATAAATCGCGTGTTTTGCAATATTTTAGAACCCATAGCAAAGTAGCTAAAGGTGATATTAGGCTTAAATTAAAACTAGAAGTCTCGACTACTATCCCTAAAAATACCATCCCTGTACCTTGAATTGATGGTCACTTATAGTAATTAGCATAAAAAAGTCTATCAAAAACAGCTTTAACATTTGATACAAAAAAATCACTGTTCCCTTGTGTTATTATTATTGGAAAATTTGCTAAGTCACAAAATTATCTACAAAATTTGTAAAAAAGCAGACTTTTTTATTATTTGTTTTTTTAATAAAGTGCAAATGAAAAACGCGAAACATTGCATTCAAAGTTTTGCAAAATACTTAAAGAAATTTACTTAGGAACGTTTTTTGTGTCTCCTGTACAATTGAAAAAAATGGACTTAGCAACTTTGCACTCTAAGCTAGCGATATTCTTTGTGTTGCTGCATGGCTGTCCGGTAAAACGTCAACCACTTTTTACGAAAAAATGTCAGGCAATGTCGGTTGTTTATTTGCTTTCTCTTCTTTTGACATTGCTTTATCTTGGAAGTTATTCCACCCGCTTTGGTGGCACTTCCCAAGGTGGCGTTTGAGGCTGGTAGTTGTTTGCTGCTTTGGAGAGGAATGCCCCAGCGAGTATATCTTGCTACATATCTTACAGTCTGCTGTTCTTTCCTTTCTTGTAAAATAGTTCCATATAGCTCCATTCGGCTCCATCATTTCCTGCTAATAAATATAATTAATTCATTCCCCAACTCTGTTTAATATAATTTTCCTACCTTCGTTATGCCGCCGCCATTATTATTTATTTATTTTTGCGAGAATAAAAAAGTTCATTGTTGATTTGATTCTGCGATTTTCAAAATGAAAGTGAAGCACAGCGTTACACATTCATATAGAAACACTAAAACTAAAACTTTGTAAAATTTTTAAATAAAAAAAATTGACAGTTGTTCGGCCAATGTTAGGTTTTTTTTGGCCGAAGCCGGACCGAAACCGAACCGAACTTTTGTGGCCGAAGCCGAAGCCGAAGTTCAGTCGTTCTCTAAAGCAGACTAAACGGCGAAGTCGATTTCTATTTGACAAACTGTTTAGCATGACACGGTTGAATACGTTGAGGGCTGTCCGGCAATTATTTTGTGCTACGGCATTTGCGGTGTCTTGTACCTGTCCAATAGGGTTACCAGATTTTGTATGCGCGAAATCAGTACATTCGACTTTTTCATGCTAAAAAAATCAGTACTTTTCAGTACATTTTTATTCAAAGCAAAATTATGAATGTAAGTAACAGAAAATAATTAAAACCCCCTGAGTTCTTGTTTTTAACAATATTTTGGTATTTAAATAAAATATAGTTCATAAAAAATAAAAGTGTTATTCATTTTAACGCGAGTATACACATCATTATACACAGGAGCCAATAAATTGTCTTATATTTGTGACTTTTTGAATAGCAATAATGAGATCATTCCCATTTTCAGTGTTTAAATAGTCAAAGAATTCTATACATTTCATTTTAAAATTGCTTTTAATCTGAAGTTCACTTTCAAAAACTTTAATTAGAAGCCAGTTTCTCTCTTTGCGCCAGGAAACAAACTTTATTCTTAAGATCCTCTCATACTGTGAAAAAGTACCACTTTTTAAGGAGTTAATCTATATTTCCTCATGGCTTAACCCTTCGGAGGGCGCGCCGCGGCAAATTAGCCGCAAAAATTTTAATTTGTGGTTTTCAAATACAAATGGTTCACTGTTAGATGTTACTTTCTGCATTATATAGTTTAGTTGATATTTGTATTTGAAAGTTGGTGCCTCATATATAAGGCTGAATTGCCGCGTCGCGCCCTGCCGTGTACCAAAAAATTTAGCTCGCAAAATTTTTTTAAGATAGTTGGAAAAGTGAGTTTGTGATAAGGTCTAAATCCAAATTGTTATTTTTTAAGTATTTTGTTATGTGTAATTTTAAAATTATACTTAAAATTATACTTTAAAATTATACTTTGCGTACACATTGTAACTATTATGATATTCATTTTCTTAGGTTTTAGAGAAAAAGGATGTTTTTAAATGATGTATTTTAGAACGTCATCCCTTGTCAAATTTGATTTGGGGACAAACCGGTTTCGGCGTTGTGCCATCTTCAGTGTCAGGAGATGTTGTTAAATTTATATAGAAGCGAACCAGCTACGCAACAGAAATTGAAACAAGGAATATGTACCAGGAATAATAAGACAAAAATTTGTTCTACAATGTTTGCAGAAAACATTGCAAGCATATTTCACGATGTGTAGAAGGTACCAACACCACTGTTGATGATGACGCATAAAAATTTAAAAAGTAAATACTTATAATATGTTTCAGTATAGACACAAATTATTCAAATATTTTATTGGAATGGTATTTCGACATAAATAAGAAAAAATGCAGTCGACGTTTGAGATACGGAAGGGTTAAATAATTTTTCAACTACGCAAAAACTGTGAAAGACTAAGAATTCGCTAAAAAGAGTATCTAACTCTATGTCTTGTATGCAGAACTCTTTTACAAAGTCAGTAAATTGAGAAAAAGGAGTTGTAAGTTATAGGCAAAGGTCATTCGAACATTGAAATTTATTGTTATTAAACTAAAAGTTATTTTCGAGATAACTAACAACACTCGACAAAAATTTAAGCCTTCTTTTTAAATAATTTCAGCTCCACCATATTATCGCAACTGGTACGTAATGACCTGGCGATATGCCCATAAAACGATTGATCTTTCTGTTGTATTTATTTCTTGGGCATATCAAATATTATCTAAAACATGTCAACTATAATTAAATTTTTTCTTCTTATTTTTTACAGTACAGTTTAAGGAAGTTCCAACGTTATGTAAAAACCGTAAGAAAATACTGAAGTATTTGGTTTGAATACAAAATGCAGTACAAATCAGTACAAATTTTGAAAAATCAGGACATTAGCGTACTGATTGAAGAAATGAATAAAATCAGTACAAGAGTTGAAAAATCAGTACTGTACTGATAAAATCAGTACGTCTGGCAACCGCACTGTCCAAGGACGAAAAGCGTTTTATTGGTCAAACGTCTAAGTTTAGATTTCATTTCATCGAAAAACTCAACACTTGTTGTTTTAAATGTAGTGGCTCTGATTGAGTCGAAGAGATCATCGCAAGCTAGTATTTCTCCAAAATTATTTTGAAGGACTGTTTTGATAGAATTCCAAGAAACTCCATGACAGTATATTTCTATTATTTCCCTAGCTTTTCCTTTCAATTTGCTCTTTATAATATCTGAAAAAAGTCCCTGCGACAATTCGTCGTATGTTGTTAACATGGGGTGTACCCTATCTATTAAGTTGATAAACTTTTGTAAGTCCTTAGTGTCTCCATGAAAGTGTGGGAGGTCTCCTAAGTATTTTAAAGGATCAAATTTTACCTGAGACATTTTTTCCTTTAAATGCAGAGGATAAACTTTCGATAATTGGTTGAGAAAAAAAATTTTTTGCACTGATCACTTTTATTATATAACAAGAAAAAAAAATAGATATACGTGTATCTATCTAGGTAGTAATAAAACTTATATCTAATTACTTAAGACTTACCTTGTAAGTTGGGTTTTTGTTCATCCGTTGTTGGTGCATAAACGAATTAAAAGTCGTGAAAACCACCTCCTGGTTGGTTTATTCTTTGGTGAGTTTCTGTCGTATTTCTCGTAACCACACCTTATTCGTTGGTAAAAAGTTGGGAACACCACTTACTCGCGGCGTATTTCTCGTAACCACACCTTCTTCGTTGGTAAAAAGTTGAGAGCACCACTCAGTCGCTGGCATATTTCTTTTATTACCGGTCAAAAATTTAAAAAAATTACCGTACTACGTTTTTATGATTTTTACGTTGGGTAGGACGTTGCGGTATCCTAACGACTGCGCCAATTAACAGCCTTGCTTTGTATGTGCTCATTTACACACGGCGATTTTTGTTGCCGCAACTCGACGTTTGTAGGAGAGAGCGTGACGAGGAAATAGAGGGGCACCGAGTTGCTCGTGCTCGGGCAACACGCTTTGAGCTGTCGTTCGTCTGTGTAAATTGAACCGCTGTTCACAGCTGACAAGAATTGCATACACACAAATCGCGGTGTGTAAATGAAACGAGCAACACCAAAAGGGAATGTGAAAAATCGCGTCGACAAAAGTTTCCGTGTATAAACACAGTCTAAGAAGACAACGGGAAAGTTACCTTTTTGAAGCTTCTGCTTCGTTTATTGAATCTCTTCTTCAGACTGCTTTACAATGTACTTATTACCCATATTTATAATAAGCTAATTATTGATATTGCATATTATGTGCCGGAAATGTTATTTCGCAATCAAATTGCAGTTAAAAATTTAATTAGGTCAAGAAAGTGCAAATTCAGGTTTAAGTAGTTCAGTGAAATAATATATGTTTTATTACTCTGAGTTAGCGAAATTGGAAATTCGAGTATACGTACGAAAGTGCGAGTTCAGTTGTAAATATGTATGTATATATGCAATTGAGTGAAATGACATGTATCATTATAATTACATATACGTATGTATATTTCTATGTACTGTTGATGTAGAAATAAAATTATAGTTTAAAAAACTAAAACCTCCCTATTATAATTGCCATTCGTACTGTCATCAGGTATGTGACTTGAGAATAGAAATCGCAGCATCTTTTAAGCGCATCAATATTACATAGTTACATCCCGAGCTAATAAAAGGACGGCAATAAAAATTTGTTCGATTTATTGGTAAGTGCAAGCTAAGGTGTATGTATGAAGTCAGTTAAGTCAAATATATTGTTATGAACCCCAAGGCTCACAGCTCAACTGTCATCCTAACGAACAGCAGCCGACGATTCTGTTCAGTAGTCACAACGGCTAGGCAGTGTGCACTGGCTTGTCCCGGAGCTACAGCTTCGTGGGTTCCTACAAAGCCACTGCGACAAGAATCGTCTCGAACGCCATGAACGAGGGTCAGGCCACAAATAAATTATTTATTTGCACACTGAAGAAGAAAAATAAATAAAAATAAAACCACTTGAAAACTTATCAACATTTGCGTCATCATGGACCATACACAATCCTACACCTTTCCATACCAAAATGATCAGCAGCGCCGCATCTGCTTGGGCTACTCTCATCCCTCCATTCCATTGGCTTTAAAGATGTTATTAAGCCCCTTTTATCTGCCAACCTACCACTGCCACTTAGTTTCGGACAAAAATATATTAATTAGAAATCCATAATTTTACAAACAGCTTTATTTATAATTCAATCAACTTACATCTAACATATTCTAATTAAAAGTGGTAAATAGCTATTCAAAAGAAGATTTAAGTTTTTAACAAGTTTCGAAAGATAATTCAAACCTTTACTTATGGCTCTAATAATATGCAATTAAAAGAAGTAAAATCGTTAGAAATTTCGATTAAAAATATGCATTTACCCTTTTTTCAAACTCAAACAATGATGTGTAAGTCAAATAGAAACGATTAATTAAAAAAAAAACCAAAAAAAATTCGGAATCAGAATTAATGTTTGCTTAGTTAACAAAAAAAAATATATCTAAAATTTTTAAAATTTGTATCCAACTTTTAAAGAAACAAAAAAAATCGAACCCAAGAAAATCAAAAGACAGAAAGAGTAGCAAACGAACACGTCAAATGGTTCATGGGGTTAATATGTTTGCCATTAGAACAAACAGCTGATTTGGTTTCCTTATATGTATGTCTATCCAATGACCTTGGCATTGAAAATGGGAATATGTAAAGAAAATAGTACATATGTACATAAATATATGAGCAACTACAGTACATATTTAGCAAAGGAAGGAGAGTAATAATCAGAAAAAAAAACTTACATTTTACTCCGGTGATGCGTTGCAACGATGAAGGCCTCCAAGCGTAGCGACGATCAGGTAGACGGTTGCAAACACTTTTATGTTGTTGCACATTTAACTAAGACTCGCGAATTATTGATAAGTTAGCACACGCTTTGCTAATTCTTCAACCAATAACCGCTGACTTGACACTTACGCTAGTTATTGACCTAAAAGCCAATAATAAGCTGTGTCAAGTTAAAGTGAAATGCAATAAGTTAATAAACAGGAAACTGTTCTCTTTTTATTAATATTTGCAAATTACATTGTGTTGACAAAAATAGCTGTGTCAACAGTAATACTTTAAATTCAATAATAATTCTTATTAATATTCGCAATTACATATTTACCCTTTTCCGGTCGAGCGTCTGGTACATATTTCAAAACATAACTCACGTTTTGCAATAGTAATCAAAATTTTGTTATAAAAACTGAACAAATGTAAATTTAGTTTTTAAGTCTTAATCAAGCCTCCAATAAAGCGGGCATAGCCCTAGCCTCAACGTATTTCGTTTTATTTAGTGTCCCTCCAACAGAGAGGACACCAACTGGCGCCCGAGCGAATGCTCAAGTACACGCGCGAAATAAAATCCTTGTAAAGGAATAAAAGCAAGTTCTCAAACGTACGCGAAATAAAATCCTTGTAAAGGAATAAAAGCAAGTTCTCAAACGTACGCGAAAAAAAAATCCGAGTAAACTCTAAAAGTCGTGTGTGAGCAAAACGGAAAACTGTGCGAAAATTAATATCCTGAAAAGAAAAACAAATAAGGACTCACGAACCCGAAAAGTGAAAGTCCTGTGAAAAGAAAAGGACCCGCGCCATACATTAGTATTCGCGTCTATAGCAGTGGGCCCCGTAGTAGCCAAAGCAAACCGGCGGTACAACGTACCAGCCCGCGGCATAGAAAAATATAAAAATATAAATAAAATAAAAAAAACAAGAAAAACATTGGTGAACAATATTTGTAAACCCAAAGCAAACATTAAGAAAAGGGAGCAAAGCTCGAAAAAATTCGTGGAGCTAAAACAAAAAAATATATACAAAAAATCAACAAAAAATTTCTTCAGCGGGCCAAGCGCGCAGTGGAAGTGGAATAAAAGTTACGCAAGAAGAAAACCCTACAGCCCCAGAGCAATAATAAGACAAGCAGCAGCAGATCGGCAAAAAGAGAAGACAAGGAAACAACGAGGAAAAATTAGCACCCACCACCAACGGCGCGCCATAAAAAAGGGTGGAATAAGCTAAAGATCGACACCTGTGAAGCAGAGGAAAAAGCGACTATTACAGCAAAGAGCATAAAAAAGGGTGGAATAAGCTAAAGATCGACATCTGGGAAGCAGAGGAAAAAGCGGTATTAGAAAAATTTTTTTTTTAAGGTATATATGTATGAGCACCCAAATTAGGGTACTCAAATTTATAATAAATAATTATAAAATATATAAAATTATTTCAAATTAATCGAAATGGCAAACCCAAACAACCTAATTCGCCCTCCCACCCTTGCCCCTCCTCAGGCAGTAAATGATAGGCAGCTAAGCATAGATGACTTAAGGGCCTTAATAACTAACATAGCAACAGATATTTTGCAGCAACAGGGACCAGGAGTAGTACAGGCCACTCTCAATCCAAATGCCTTTTTAAGTTCGGCAATAGACCAAACAATTGAGGATAGGCATCGGGGTAATTTGGCAGATTTAGATAAAATCCCAGATGTAGTTAAGTGTCTCAAGGATTTCTCCGGACGTCCTGGGGAATTTAATTCCTGGAAGAAGAGTGTAGATCGTATTTTGAGTATATACGATCCGTTGAAAGGGACTCCCAAGTATTACGGAATACTTAGTGTTATTCGAAACAAAATTATAGGAAACGCCGATACGGCACTAGAATCCTATAATACACCTTTAGATTGGTCGGCAATTGTAAAATGTCTAGCAATGCATTATGCAGACAAACGGGATGTTTCCACTTTGGAGTATCAATTAACCACCTTAGTCCAAGGTAACAAATCCATATCAGAATTCTACCAACAGGTTTATGAGTACCTTTCATACATACTTAACAAATTAGGATGTGTAGAAATGAGTAATGAATCTCATCGCATGATGACTCAATCTTATAGAGACAAAGCACTTGATAAATTTGTCACGGGTCTGAACGGGGACTTACCTCAGTTACTGGGCATCAGAGAACCAGCTGATCTCCCACAAGCTCTTCACTTGTGCATGAAGCTGGACAACCAAAATTACCGAACAAATCATGCCCAAAATATTAAAAAAGGACACCCAAATTCGGGAAAATATCCTACACACCAACGACCCTTTTACCCACAATTGGCTCACGAGCCACAAACGAATCAAACAAGGTGGAAGACCAAACCACAGTCCACCAACCAAAATCAATTTACTAATGCCCCTCCAAGGCCACCGAAGCCTCAACAGAAACCAGAACCTATGGAGGTAGATCAGAGCTTACATTCAAGAATCAACTATATGAACAGACCACCTCAAAATCAGCTTCAGGGCAAAAGACCGCCATCGGTCAACAATCAGCCACCAACCAAAAACCAAAGGACATTTCATATAGACACATCAGAAGAGGGTAACCAAACAGAAACCGAATATGATGAACATGCGGAATGCAATGACGTTCATTTTTTAGCATGATTAGCTCTTCGCTTCCATACATCGAAGTGAAGACGGAGAGCGGAAAAATTTTGAGATTTTTGATAGATACAGGTTCGAGTAAAAACTACGCGAAACCAAATTTAGCTAGGAA